GATCAAGATGGTATCTTGTTTTTCATGTAGCACTGTCCTGACTGAGGAATTGAGCAGAACAGTTTTCAACCCAATTTCTCACAGTCCAATAGCTAGAATAAAAAAAAAAAAAAAGAAACAAAAAATCAGCATTTGCAGAGACTTTTTTAACCTTTATAACAGAGCAGTGAGCAAAGCAGTTATTGACTAAAGAAGGAGTTGCAGCCATCCTACAAATCATTCAGCACTTTGCCACCACATTCACTTACCTCTGTGTTGCCCCCATCACAGCCTCACACATACTCCAGCAGAAGGTGGATCGAGCGCAATCATCCCTGAGGCCAGCCGCAATCTTGTTCAGGATTTCTGCAAAAAAATCATCACCTATAGTTGCCAGCAGTCCCGACTTGCCTAAAACATTCACAAACTTTTGATAGCCACCCCTCCCCCCCCCCCCCCAGTGACAGACGGGATCAACCCTCAGTTGGCTGTGCTCCCTCTCGAGTCCCAACCAATAACACAAAGATGCTGCTGGGGGAGCCAGAGGGGGCAGGGGGAGGGATCTGTGAGTGTGTGTACTGCATGTGATGTTACCCCGCCCACCAGCACCTCTGTTTTGGGGTCATGTTCATGCACTACTTCACAGAAAGCTGAGCTACCCATGAAACACATTCATTTTTGGGACTCAGCCCAGGACAAGGTCACATCAGGACAGCTGTCAAAAGTTTGTGAATGTCCTAGGCAAGTCAGGACTGTTGGCAACTACTGTATAGAGGATGGGTTTTTGCAGAAATCCTGAACAAGAGGAGATTTAGGAGTTCAGGATGCTCCATAACTATATCAGAAATCAACAGGAGAACAAACTTCTAGCATAAATCCCTATAGCTGCAAAACACACATGAAAGTCCCAAAAGGTCTTACTCACAATGTCCAAGGATCTGACTACTATCCAGCTTTCACAAGACCCTCTTCAGTGAGGGAGACAAAAAGATCCTTCTCCAGACTAGAACTAGATCTAGAACTTCAGGACAGTGCCCTACTGCAAAAATGTCTTTAGCAATCTTCTCCAGCCAAGCACCAACTGAGGCCCAAGTGCAATTTCTGTCTCACAATAGCTGCCTCCCAAGGACAGCAGCCCCAGAAGATGTGGAACCCTCCTTGCAGAGGAAGAAGAACCCTCTGGAAAGTTTTCCAAATTTGTATTACCTTACTCACCCACCTTCTGGGTGCCCCCTTCCAGGGATTGGCTGAAGTCTGATAACTATTCAAACTGAATAATTGAGGCTCCCTGCTCTTTTTTTCTTTTTTTCCCTCCAGAAACAGGCAGAATCAGTCAATCCCCTAGCTTAGGAAACCCTGACCAGGCCAAAAACATCACATTCCCCTGAGCAGTGTAGCCGCAACTACTGTAAATATAGGCTAACTTTAGTAGGGCGGTAAATCAATATTTTTTGTGCTCACTTGAGTACAACTTTAAAGAAAAACTCTCCTTCATAGTAATTGGATGTACAGTATAATAGCCACATAAGAGAAGCACATACGATTTCAGATAGACAACCTCTTATTTTATGAAAGCACAATTATTGTTTGTGGGATCCAGTGCTGGTGCCTCTGTCAGTCTCTTTGGCATTTGACGCTTCCAGGAGTGTAAGATGCCTATGCCCTCTCCACCCCAGTGTGCTGTGGCTCCTTCCTATCACCCCTTTGTCACTGCTATGTGCTGTAGTGATGGGGTAGGGTGATGAATACCAAGGAGTGTTATGGAGGCTGCAGTGCTAGAAGGGGGGAAGGTAAGATACACAGGCTGTGTAAGTGGTGAGTATAAAGGGTTTTTATTACAGGAAAAACAGTTATCATTTATAGAGACTAACAGGGCCTGTTTAAGCCCTGGTTCACACTGATGCGGTGCGGAATTCGCTGCATTTTCAATGCAAATTCCGAACTGCATCACAATTGCACCCTGTTCATACGGACTGATGCGGGTGTGTATGTTAAGTTAACAACACCCCGACATCGGTCCCCAAAACGCAGTGTGATGTGCAGAATCAGATCGCATAGGTGTGAATACCCATGCGATCCGATTCTAGTGCGGACCAAAAAAGGGTTCTGCACGTTTTTGGTGCGGATGTGGTGCAAATAGAGCCATACAAAATGTATGGCTCTAATTGCACCGCATAAAAATAGCATGTGATTTGTAGAGGAATGCGGTGCAGTTCCTGTGCGAAGCACATGGGATTTACCGCACCGCTGTAGTGTGAACCTAAGCTAAAGCTGAATTTAGATATTTAGCCAGCTTTTTTTCTGAACAGATTTAGTCACATTACCTGTAGTGAAGTAAGTCCCATGTCCTACAGGCAACTGGATCCTGGAGGAATCTTCACTGCAGGGATGCCTGTCCTCTTCATGTCTCTGAACTTCTTGCACTCTAGGGGTTAGAAGCTTTGAGCTCCAAGCTGAGCTCCTTCCATGTGAAAACTTTTTATTTATTTATTTATTACACTGCCTGTAACATGATTTGTGAATAAGGGAGAGAAATCTGTTACTTATCAGGCTCTCCACCATTCATGGATCATGTTATATTCAGTGTACACTATGAAACAACTTTTCCTAATGGAGGAGGAGTGGGTGGGTCCCCAACACAATATTTTTACATCAACTCAGCCCGGAGCCCAAAGATATTAAGCCCTACAGCATCTGGATGCCCGGGGTCAGGAAGAAGACTGGCATGCCTACAGTGAATATTTCTACAGGATCTAGTTACTTGGATGACGTGGGAGATATAAGGTGTGACAACTTCCAGGGATGGACTATAAAAAAAATGTTTGCTTACCTATACACTACCTGCTGTTGTCACCTTCAAAGTAGTCCCCTTGTAAAGTGAGGGCTTTAGCAGGGCAGGGAAGCGGTGAGGAAGCACAGATAGGAAAATATATTTGCTCCAGGGGTAGGTTATGTTCAGTCACTGTCACTTTAGTTTGAATAGGCCAAATGACAGTGCCTCCTTAAAGTGGTTGTAAACCCTTACATATATATATATATATATATATATATATATATATATATATACACACACATATACAGCGAATTGACTGGCCTCTGGTGATACATGTGTTCAAATCCAGAATGTACACAGCCTGTCTGAGTGTTCAGAAAAAATGTAGGTGGAGAGCTAAACTTACACTCTGCAGAGCTCAATGAGGAGGTAACTGATTGGAGGGAAGAGACACACTCCCCTTAACACATCTTACAGGAACAGAGCTGAGGCTGTCAATCAGCGGTAGGTCCCTCCCCATCACCATTTATCTCTTGGTGTCAGGAAAACTTGTCAGAAATGATTCATGCAGTTAGCAAAAGAATGAAGCAGCAGACAGAAATGACACTTAGTGCTCTTAATTGAGACAAGTACACACCATAGAGGGATATGCTTTGTTAATATTTTATTGACTAAGGTTACAACCACTTTTTAATGCATTAAAACTATTATCAGGAAAAGCCAGGCTCCAGTTATTTCTTTCCTGTAACCCTAAAATCCTTATTTGCATATGCCAGCATTCACACCTTGTTCCTGTCACAAATATGTCTTGTCTTAAAGTGATTATAGAGGTTGATTTTATTTTTGTAACAAACATGTCTATACTTACCTGCTCTGTGTAATGGTTTTGCACAGAGCAGCCTCGATTCTCTTCTTTTTGGGTTTCCCTCCAGCTCTCCTGGCTCCTCCCCCCAGCCAAGTGCCCCCAATGGCAAGCTTTATGGTAAGGAGGTATTAGAGCACACCTGTTCCCAAGCTGCACTCCTGTGAATGAACATTGTCTAATTACACACAGAGAGCAACTCAGCCCTGCCCCCTCCACTCTTTTCTCATTGTCTTTGATTGACAGCAGCAGTGAGCCAATAAGGAGACCCGGGAAAGACCTTGGAGAGACCTGGCTCTCATGCAAATCTCTGGATCGAGATGGGGCTCTGGTAAATATAATGGGGGGTCTGTACCTAGAAGGTTTTTTACCTTCATGTATAGAATGCATGTAGGTAAAGCACCTTCTGCCTTTAGAACCGCTTTAAGAATAACTATTATTTTCCACTGTCTATAAATGTACAATCAATAGGTCCATTATATATTTACAGTTCTCTTTTTAACTTGCAATAATCTACAGCAACCATCTGGGCATTCCCTTTCACAAATGCTCCTTCACCAGCATGATTGTTCACTAACTGCTGATCAAATGTTCCAACGACATTTGTTGAGCTATATATGCACAAGATGGGCAGCTGGCTTTTTTTTTATTGTCAGCTGAAATATATACTGTATACAGCAAGATGTTAACCAAGATCTGTTTTGATTCGTCCCTTCAATCTATCGGGTGTGTGCATTTAAACCAACCATTAGATGTAGTTTGTAAATGCATCTGTACAAAGTTCTAACTTGATTATAAACATATTAATGTTTCCTGCTAATCTCATCACCCATCTGTAAAGTGATCACGCTGTCATGCTCTGATCTTTGCATGCAAACAATCAGTACCAAAGAGGTGTGTGTATTTATTTATTACTGGTACTTATATAGTGCTGTCAATGTACGCAGCACTTTACATATATGTTGTACATTCACATCAGTCGCTAACCCTCAAGGGGTGTACTATCTAAGGTCCCTAACTTACATTCATACATACACATACTAGGGCCAATTAACCCTCCAGCATGTCTTTGGAGTGTGGGAGGAAACTGGAGTACCCAAAGTAAACCCACACAGGCACAGAACATGCAAACTCCAGGCAGGTGGTGCCGTAGTTGGGATGTGAACAAACAACCTTAGTACTGCAAGGCGGATGCGCCAACCATTTAGCCACTGTGTGTGTATTACAATATTTGTGCTCACTTAACCTCCTTAGCGTTTTTTCCCGAGTGTAGCTCGGGGTAAAATTTCAATTCCAAGAGCGGTAACCCCGAGCTACAATCAGGCTTACCATGCGGCGTTGCTCAGGGGGTCTCTGCAGCACTTACCTTGTCCTTCGCTCCCACGATGTGTCCCCTGCAGCGTCCCCGGCCATCTCCTCCGGCCGATGCCGGAATCCGGCTTCCGTGTTCCGGTCCCTGTGACGTCGGAACGTACGGGCGCCGGAACCGGCGGGAAATTTGAAATTTTCAAAAAAATGTCATTTTTGCTGTCATTGCTGTTTCAATGCATTTCACATATATTTTGTCCCTACTGCTTTGTCCTGTGCCCTGCCTGCATTTTGACTGTTCTTTCTGCCTGGAAACTTAGAAATGTCTATGGCGTCCAAAAAGCGTCCCTTTACATCAAAAGCGGTTTTAGAACAGTGATAGTAAATCAGAACCACTTGCAGAATTGAGTGATAATGATTCGTGGGGAAATTCGTCATCAGACACTGAAAACGATTTTGCGACTTTGCTCAGCGATGTGCGAATTTGCCTCTGTATTTTAAATCTCAGTATTTTTGGTTTGATTATATTATTGAATTAAATTTATTATTATTATATTATTATTTTTTATGATTATTAAATTATAATTTATGATTTCGTGTTTCAAATTTTATCCTACCCGGGATGTTTACTAGACTCTTGTTCGGACAGATTTCAGTGAGTTATTCCTAAAAATTACAGCCTACAATAAAAAAACTACATATTTCCATGCAAAAAAATGGTACCGCTTTCAGCACAAAAAATCGGAAAGAATCATACTGCCGAGGAGGTTAAAGTGGAATTTCACTCTCTCAATCAACATTGACTATTTTTAATCCTTATACTGCTAGCATTAGTAAATAGATAGGAAAGTATATTATATTTACTTATTTTAAACTTTTTCACATTTCTTTCTGGTTTCCAGGCCTATGCAAATGATGTCATACATCCCTGGAGTCTTCTGGAGGGGAGCAGGGGTTTTCTCAGCTAAGCATACTATCCTGCCTGCATGCAGGAAGATGGATTCCAGAAAGTAAATGCTACATGAATCATCTACCCTTATTCAAGATGGCCTCAGCCAGAAATGCTAGGGGGGTGTTTCTGAATGTGATTTTTTTTTTAGCTAAATAAGGCATGGAGACATGGATGAATGGGAAAGTTTGTTTTGAATATTTAAAATGAATTTAACAGTGTTTTGGTTTGTGGTGCTCGGATGCAGTGTAGTTCTACTTTAAGAGCCTGTTCACACTATTGTGTTACATTATGCGTGTTGGTTTGATACAGTTCCATTCATTTTGCATGACACCCCAATGTACTTACATTGTAGAGGCAATGAGCGGCAATGCAATAACATGCATTGTCACGCACTGCATTGCAGGAAAAGTTGCATGTACTGTTTGTGGTGCATTTTGGTGTCTTAGGCAGCCCATTTAAAAGCTTGGATCTGCTTCCAAATGAGGGACTATCCTTCCAAATAAGGGAAAATTGGGACCTATATAAAACGGCAGCTGAGATGTCCACTTTCACAGTGTAGTGGGATGAAGGACCCTATTCATTGGCCCAGCAGTTAGTCCCAGTGTAGTTTAGCAGGAAATCATTAGATATCCACAAAAGGACCTTAGTGCACTGGTATAGGCATCAGTATAGGACACTTTCAGGAATTGCCCCATCCTATGATTTCCAAGAGGTGCTCCCTGCCACTCAGTGTTGTTGCAAATGTATTTAAGGCCAAGTAGCTGGAAACACAGGGAGGAGATGTGGGAACTCTCCAGTGCTGTGGAGGGGAACAAAGGATGTTGTTCCTTTTTATGTGAGCCCTGCACAATTAGGACCATGTAGATTAGGGGCCTGTGACACTTTTTGCTAGTAGTATGGTTCAGCTCTTCTCTTTCCCTTGAAGATTGTTGTGACTCATCTGTTTCTTTCTTTTCTTATTACAAGAACTGTTTAAACCTGTTAAAGTATGGGGCCACTATTATCATATATGACTGTAGCTGAGAAGTCCACTTTCAGCTTCATTTAACATTCTTTGGCAAAGACAACAATCTTTTAAAAGAGCTTGGTTTGTTCTGTTCCATTGGGGGACTACTCTTCAACATGGGCTTGTGCCCAAGGGAACTAAATGACTGGCAGGAAGAAACAGCAGGTTAGATTGGAAGGTCCAGGTTTAGGTTAGGCAAGGCTTGGTTGCCCACATGGTGTTCTAAGAGGGTGATGTCTGAAGGTTTCCAGTCTTGAAGGTCTCCATGATAGGCAGCCATGGTGTGCCTATGGTAAAGTACAGTACATGTTGACCTATAAAAAATTTTCACTGTAAGAACTTTAATTTGGTTTTATAATCGTTAAGTTGGGTCAAATTGACATTGGGTTTCAACCACAGTGACGAGAAAATTCAAAGTAACAGTTTGGAAATGTTTTCTCAAACAAACAAGTTTCTAACAGTGTATGTGGATTTCATTTGGGGAATTATATTAATTCCAAAACTGAATCTTAAAAGAAAAAGATAGAGATGATTTATAGGCTCAAATTGGTGTGTAAAGCAACCCCACAATGCCTGGCTGAGCTGTACAGATAAAGCAGAATTGCTGATGGGTTACTGCCCCTTGATCACTTACCTACAAGTGGACATGGTGTCGCTTGGATGGGTACTCATCTGCACCATGATGCGGCAATGTTAAAGGCTACATGCCGAGTCTGACAGGCAGAACTACCTGTGAAACTCTATGTAAGTGAATGAGGCCACATCGTAACGGCAAACCCAAGTTTGCAAAATTGGCCACTTGACAATTTAAAAAGAAGCCAAAAAAAGACATCAGGATGCAGCAACACCACCATCCAAACTCCTACAAATTGCCATAGACTGTCCTCTGATAACCGCAGATCACTTTACAGAAAGGCGGTAGACACCGCCACAAGTATGAAAGGAGCCCTTAAAGTATAACGACAGGCAAGACTTTTTTTTAGTTCTGGATAGAGTGGAAAGGGATAAGAACACCTGTCAGGTATTTATTGCTGTCTGTGCCTCGGTTCGGGAGATTCACCTCTCTATTTGTCCTGTTTACTGTTATAATTGAAAGTAAAAGCCCATATTTTGGGTTGTTTCCAGAAGACGTATAGATGGAAAATTTTCCAGTGGGGACACTAGTTCTTGTAATCCTGGTGACAATGAGGGATTCCTTCACTTTAGAAAAGGATTTCCTCTCACTTCCTCTTTTGGCTATGGAACAGGAAGTGAAGCAAATTCTCCCCAATGGGACATAAATGACAAAAAAAACAACCTTTCAGGGGTTATATCCCTCCCCTGAATGTAATCCCATATGTGTTAAACAGGTTTATATTAACTGCTTCCTGACTCTCTATAGCAGAACTACTGCTACAGGGCGGCAGGGCTGTGAAAAATCATGTATATATACGTGATTTTGCACTTCCGGGTAGAGGGCATCCGCGCACAGCAACGGCTGTTGATACCTGGTCCCAGCCGGAGATTCCCTGCCGGCACCCGGCGATCGCCAAGAAACACTGACAGGGGAGAGGTCTGCATGTAAACAATACAGATCTCTCCCCTGTCAGCACCAGCATGCTGTTTTGTAATGCTCTGCATAGCAGAGCAATACAAAGCAGCATGCTTACATAGTAAAAACACACACAGCACACTTAGTAAAACAGCACACAGTTAACCCTTTGATCGCACCAGATGTTAACCCCTTCCTGCCCAGTGTCATTAGTACAGAGTCAGTGCTTTTTTTATTAACACTGATCACTGTATTAGTGTCACTGGGGATGTCAGTGGCAGTTAGTTTCCTCCAGTGTCAGAATGCCCGCTGCAGTCCCGCAATGTTTCTGATCACCACCATTACTAGTATATAGAAAACAAAATTCCAATATATATACCACCATTTGTAGAAGCTATAACGTTCATGTAAACCAATCAATTTACAAGTATTTTGGGATTTGTTTTAGCAAAGACATGTAGCCGAATACATTTTGGCCTAAAGTTATGGTGACATTTGCTTTTTTAAATTTTTTTTACTGGATATGTTTTATAGCAAAAGGTCAAAATATTGTTTTTTTTTTAAATAACGCTACGCCGTATGACAAAGAATACACACACAATCAGCACTATATGAGCTACAAATAATATTCAATGTTGCAAAGTCCAAAATCTTTCTGTGTAACTGTGTTTCATTCTCTACACAAAGAATGTCCTTAGAAATGGATCCACCACTTAACCAGGTAAATGTGTTCTGGCCTCCACATCAAATACGCTCCAACTGTGTTTTCTCCCACCACCTTCACAAAGGCTTACCACCAAAACGTTTTTTTACCTTATGCTTTCTTTGTATTAAGGTTAAAAAACATTTTCTATTTCTCTATTTACATTATTTACATTTTTTATCTATTCATACGTTTTTCTACTTCACTTCAAAGTTAAGGAATCCTTGCTTGTCGCCAGAACTAGTGTCCCCATTGGAGGATTTTCCCTCTATTCCTGCTCTGGTGACAACTCAAAACTTAGGATTTTCCTTCATTTTCACTCTCAGTGATAATGGTAAACACGACAAATAGAGAGGGCAAATCCTTCTAACAGGGGCACAGACCGCAATTAAAAAAACTGTTCTAATCCCTTGCCACTCTATATGAAACAAAAAACAAAAAAAAAGTTTGGGTTTTTGTTATACTTGTATCCTGTGCTAATTTTGTAAGCTCACATGAGAAGAGTCCTCCTAACCCTCTTGCATTGTATTGTAACTGTTCTTTATTTCTATATTGTAAAGCGCTGTGCAACCCATTGGAGCTATATAAATCCCAAATAATAATAATAATTTGGATAAAAGGAAAGAAGTTCATTATGAATATAGAACACAATCTTCTCTTTTTTCTTTACTTGGATGTTGTTGAGGCTTAGAAGAATCTTGGATCTGCACCGGAGTTCCCTTAGGCTGACTATGTATTGACAAACCTGGAGTAGGTTTTATATTATATAGTTACAGTGCCTTGAAAAAGTATTTATACCCCTTCAACTTTTCCACATTTTGTCATGTTACAACCAAAAATGTAAATGTATTTTTTGGGGATTTTATGTGATAGACTAACACAAAGTGGCACATAATTGTAAAGTGAAAGGCAAATGATAAATGGTTTTCAAATGTTTTACAAATAAATATCTGAAAAGTGTGGTGTGCATTTGTATTCAGCCTCCCTGAGTCGGTACTTTGTAGAACCACCTTTCACTGCAATTACA